TCTGAAACCGGTAGAAGCAGGCGCATGACTTTGAAAAAACTTACCCCTGACGTAGTAGCGAGAACTCCGGGGCACACACTGCTTCGGCACGAAAACGCCCTGACATTGCCAGTCGGGAGGGCAGTCGTCCTCGGTTCGGCAGAAGATCCTCGCATCGACAAAGCTGCCTAAGGTCGAAGCGGCTGCTTAAAGTTTAAAGTTTAAACAGGGCACAAGACTCACCAGTCAGGAGCAGCAGGAGCAGTTGACAAACGACGTTCGGGGACACCGTCGTCGTCATCGTCGCGGCCGTGATCACAGTCCATGTGCGTCTTGGGGCAGCCATCGCCGGTGAAGCACTTAAGAGTTACCCGAGGAGCGGCAGAAAAAGAAACTGGCCCGGACGGTCACCTGCGGGTGTAACGGCGATACCGGGCTGCGTGGGACAACGTTGTCGATGTCGCTTCCGGCTGTTCCGAGGGAAGGTTCGACCTACACTGACTCATCGAAGCTCATGTGCTGACTCATTCGTCGACTTACCGTGCACCGTACCTAAAACCTCGGCCGCTAACAGTCCAACTGGCACTGACACTAGGCGCCGGTGACAAAGCGCTGTTGTATCTAGGACTGTTTCGAGCAGCTGCTCGATCGATCATCACTGGTCGATCACACACTAACCACCGGCTGGACGTGTTCTTTATACTCTTTGATCTCGATACGACAAACGTTCGTATATTTGCTAAACGGCTTATTTATATCAATCCATAAAGATCACCATGACTTAATGTTTGAGTGGGCGTGGAATGCTCGTTCCAAACTCATTAAGGAAAATTGGCCTGGGGAAAGTTTGCAATTAAGATAAGATCCTCGCAACTGTAGTAATTAAGAAAAGTTTGTTCGGAAGTTGTGGATCGCCATTATATTTGCACCATGTATTTCATTTATGACATTGTATTTTACGATCGTTATAATGATATCCTCATTTCCATTACCATGCCATCAACCAGGAGAGCGTTGTATACGTTTTTTAAAGCTGTATCTAAAATAAGGTGGCCAATTGAACTCCCAGTCCTCTGTTTCCTTTCCAAGTAACTTTTCTCGTCTATCAATCTTGCAATAATGAAAGCCAAGTCGATTTCTAGTTGATAGAACTCTTCCCACGTCTGACGCCTTATCCTTTGAGCTATCAAACGAAATGTAACATTCTTTTGAGAAAGGGAAATCCAAATCTGACCTCTTACAGAAACTCATCTGTTGAAAGGCTGGATTAATCATATCCTTTATCTAGCGGCAGAAAAGTAATCTTGCATATCATCCGTCCACAGGATAACGAACTCATAGGTAGAGTCTTGGCCACCTGGAATACGAATATCTGTGCTGTATACGTGATTCAGTTTAATTAATACATTCTTTTAACGGACCTCAGGCGGCATCGTATGTTCAAGACCTAAAATTTTAAGGGATCGAGTGCGAATCAAGCAGTGTCTGAGTACAGCGCATGTCGCACGGCCATTTAGATTCACGGTAGTTGATTTAGAATAAAACTGATACAATCAGTCGTCCTCAAGGCCAACCATGTAGATGGATCAAACGCTTAAATGTGAAATTTCATTTCAGGGCAAAATCTTGTGAAAACCCTTTTGTTACACTGAAAAAATTACTTCAGTTCAATTTTAAAGGCCTATGATCACAACGTTGTGGCAGTCTGGGGGCAGCTTCGAATCCTGAAAATCAAAATGCTTCTCTTAATCGCTAATCCCTTTCAGTTGATAACACAAAATGGGTTCTTTTGGTGCAACT